AATCACAAAAACAATATGTAATTATATATGTGTTTTCCAATGATCTTACGCAACCCCTGTGAAAGGGTCATTTGACCCCCAAAGGGGTCACGGCCAACAGGTTGAGAACCACTGGTCTACACAGTAATGCATGCCATCGTCTGTGGCATCGTGGCATGTCCATGATTACAAAAATCTTCCTGTCTCAGGGAAAAAACTCCAACAGATTGATGGGAACATAAAAGGTAAACACTAAACTGTTGTGACCTATGGAGGTTAAGGGCATGGACACAGGAGCCAGGCAGCCAGGTCCAGTGTGATCTCGGACCAGTTACATGGCCCCTTTGTGCCTTAGTCTCCTCATCTGTGTGATTGGGGGAAATAGCAGCGCCTACCTCACTACCACTTCATACGTGTAAAGGGGTCAGGAAGTACCATGGAGGTGTTTGCTCTTATTCCAGAATCCCAGAAACTGGGTGCTAATTGGATTAAAATTTTAATATTTGCCCTAGCCAGTTTTCCCAGTGGTTAGAGCATTGGCCCACAGACTGAGGGGTCTCGAGTTTAATATGGGCACAGGTAGGAGGCAACCAATCGATGTGTCTCTCTCACATCGATGTTTCTCTCTTTCTCTCTGCCCCTCCCTCCCTTCCACTCTCTCTAAAAATCAATGGGAAAAACATCCTCTGTTGAGGATTAACAAAAAAATGAAAATGTAAGGCTTCTTGTGCGAAGTTGCTGTGTGGAGAGTGGGAAGCTGCCCCTTTGTTTGGGGTCTGAGCCGTGATGTATGAGCATTTTCTGGAGCGGCGTCTCTCTGGTGTGTGAGTATCTTGTGGTTCCTGTAACTACCTGTTTATTTTCCCGCCTCTTCCTAGACCAGTGATGGCGAACCTATCACACGCGTGTCAGAAGTGACACACGAACTCATTTTTTTGGTTGATTTTTCTTTGTTAAATGGCATTTAAATATATAAAATAAATATCGAAAATATAAGTCTTTGTTTTATTATGATTGCAAATATCAAAACATTTCTATATGTGACACAACACCAGAGTTAAGTTAGGGTTTTTCAAAATGCTGACACGCCGAGCTCAAAAGGTTCGCCATCAGTGTCCTAGACTGTGAGTTCCCCGAGGTCAGACTGTGCCCTACAATAACCCCATTGAGTGCGTGTGGAGTGCGTGTCTCTAGGCTGCTTGGTGCTGAGCCCTGCAGTCCTCTCCTGGCTGCTCCCAGTATCCTCAGGGGCGGGTCCTCAGACCTGGGCGAGGCTGAATGGCTCTTTCCCATCTTTCCCACACTTGTCCCATCAACCAATCTCTCAAGTGGGGGTGGGGGCCCTCAGGCCCTCCTGAGATTCAGACCCTGAAGGCCTGGGCGGGGGCCCATGAATTGGCCTTTGTGCCTGATCCTTGATGCCAAGGCCATGTCTGGGCAACACCAAGTGAACGGTGGCCCCTACACTTGCTCCTACATCTGCAGCCTCAGGCAGTCCCTCGTGCCGGGATGGAGGCTGCGGCTGGCCAAGAGGAGGCATGTTAGCATGCAGGGCCTTTCTTGTCCTGTCACCTTACCTAAAACAAAAAAAATGGTGCGTCCGCAGGACTCCACCTCCGTCCTCCTAGGATGGGTGTGCGCTGCCTCCAAGGGGACCAGGGCAGGCGGGCACGCCAGTGGCCTCCATGCGACGTGGGAGCT